AAAAAAGCACTTTCCGTTAGGATTTGACAGAAATAAAGTTCACCATTATTTTAAGCACGTTTGAAACTACAAATTGGGTTAATAAAAGAGAATATGAAAATTTCGTTTCAGTGGCACTTTAAGAACTGCAACATAATGGTGGAGGCAAGGTGTCCTCATGGTTAGTGTACAGACCTGGTCAGGGACATTGTGTTGTGTTCTTGGATAAGACACTTTACTCTCACAGTACCTCTCTCCATTAGGGAGGTGCGGTGGCCTCATGGTTAGTGCGCTCGTCTCCGGATCAAGTGGTCCGGGTTCGAGCCCTGGCCGGGGACATTGTGTTGTGTTCTTGGGCAACACACTTTACTCTCACATTGCCTCTCTCCACCCAGGTGTATAAATGGGTACCGGCGAACTTAATGCTGGGGGTAACCCTGCGATGGACTAGCATCCCATCCAGGGGGGAGTAGAAATACTCCTAGTCGCGTCATGCTACAGAAACCGGGATAAGCTCCGGTCTGATGGGCCACTTGGCTCGCATGCAGACGTTACCTTTTACCTCTCTCCATTAAGGTGTACAAATGGGTGCTGGTGAATTTAATGATGGGGTTAACCCCATGATGGACTAGCATCCGATCCAGGGGGCAGTAGAAGTACTCCCAGTTGTTTCATGCTATGGAAACTGGAGATAAGCGCTGATGGGGCACTAGTTTTGTGTGCAGACTTTTACCATACTGCATAAAACCAAACATAACTGTACAGCCATGTATAATTTGCAGTACATAATTAGTTTCAGTAGGCTACTAGTGCAGGCTTAATATATTAATTCAAGTGACATGTCACAAGCTTCTATGAGTACATTATTATGGTACCCAATATACACATACTGTTCTGTAGTGTCTGTGGTACATGTATGCCTTAAAGACCTAGATCTATCATAAATTACAGTAAACATGACTGATAATTGCTTAGAAAATGCTTTATAATTACTGTGGTCAATATTGCTTTGTTTCAGATGTAGCCATAGGTGCCCCATATGAGGATGGTGGCGAGGGTGTAGTCTACATCTACAGAGGGTCCAAAAATGGCCTTGTGGAAACACCAATGCAGGTACATTGTCTCACACCAATGGAACATTTTATTTAAGTTACTGACTGACTAACTGACTGACTAACTGACTGACTAACTGACTGACTAACTGACTGACAGACAGATGGATGGAAGGACGAACAGATGGACAGATGAACGGAAGGAAGTAACTGACTGACTGAATAACTGGCTGGCTGACTCATTGATTGACTGACTGACTGGCTGGCTGGCTGACTGACTGACTGACTGACTGACTATCTAACTGACTGACTGACTGAGGGACGGATGAACAGACAGAAGTAACTGACAGGCTGGCTGACTCATTGATTGATTGACTGACTGACTGAATGACCTACTGACTTTCTGAATTATGAATGGCACATAAGGCCATCACCAGGGAATGTCGTTGCTATCTGTCAGATAACCACCATTAAATCTGGCTCTAAGTCCGTCCTGCCTCCACATTGTATGCTACATTGCAAAGAAATATACCAAATGAATATATTTTTGTTGAATTGAGATATAACAGGATGATTGATGTTTTAAATTTCTTGTTTTTCTGTTCTAGGTCATCAAAGGTTCTTCTGTGTCACCAGGCATCAAATCTTTTGGTTATTCTTTGTCTAGAGGACTTGACATGGATTTCAATGGATATTCAGGTGAAGTAACGGAACTACGAAAGTCAAGTACATTGCCAAATAGTTATTATCGTTTTATCCATTTGCTCTAGAACAGATGGCATGGTTGCTAAATCAGTTGTCCTTTCATCAGTACAAATGGTCTGAAATCAGTATCTGTTAATATCTGTAATCTAGTGTCAGTGGGTTTAACATGCGATGTGTATATTTTCCAGATATCCTTATTGGAGCCTACCAGTCTGATACTGTAGTCCTGCTCAGGTATGTAGTCAGCTGTAGTTATTCGGATTAGTTAAAGATATTCTATTTGGTTGGTGTGCTAGATATTTTTAGCCTAGGCCACTTGATCTTAAGTTGAATGGGCCAACCATCAGGCCACAAGTAGCTCACCTTTTAGCTGAATGTCAAAAATTTTGTTACAGATCTAAACCAGTTATATCACTGTCGTCAACAATTACAATCAACCCCAAAACATTTGATATCAAGGGCGCCAAGAACTGCAATGCAACCACACTTGAAGGAAATACTTTATTTGCCACATATTGGTGAGAATTTATCCTTTGATTTTCAACTGTTTTAGTTTTAATTATTATTAGCCTGGATTCCTTTTAACGTTATGTTTTTTTTGCTCTTTTTGTAACCAGCTTCTCCATTTCTGTTTGTACAAAGTATACTGAAAGATCTGGAAATGTAACAGATAAAATAGGTAAGTTGCGCTTTTGAAAGGACCATTCACAGGCTTTGCTCACATGTAAGTGTATGTTTTGCTTTCATTATGAGGGCCCTCCATGAAATGACCTGCAAATTTTCATCTTTCAGATGTGTTGTTATTAATGAAGTCTGACATTGATTATGTCGTGGAATCAACTAAGAGAGTCCTTTTCAAGACAAATAAAAAGGATGAGATCAATCGCACTGAAGGGATTTTGAGTGACAGCAACAAATGTTTTACATGGGAGGCGTATATCAGGGTGAGTGATCATTATTGGGTGAGGCAGTGGGGGGGTGGGGTAGGCAGTCAGGAATATTAGTGATGGGGAGATATGATTGACACAAAATTGGGAGGCTCCTGACTCAACAATTTCCTTTTTAGGACAAAACCAGACCTGAAAAAAGTCCAGTGGCTCATAACATAACCCAAGAATGTCCCTCCTTCCTCTGACTAGTGAGGACAGAGTTCTCCACCTTAACTTCAGACAGGTGGTTTGTTAGGGAAGCTGAATTTTGTAGGCCTTGGGAATACTGCTACCCCCGCTCAACCCCACCCCTTTTAGGGTCATTGGGTAAGGATGCCTAAAATGACTGTATTTGTCTTCTTGTGAGTTGCATTTGCAAAATTTCCGTGTTAATTTTGACCTGCCTTTTCAGGAAGGAGTAACGGATGCAGATGTTTATCCTGACATTAAATTCAAACTGACATATCATATTGTGAAGAAGACTCCATCACCCCCTGGTAGCCCAACAGACCTGCCATCTCTTGTTCCATATTCAGTTTTAGATCCTCTGAAACCGCAGGAAGCAACTGCATTGGTAAGCCCACCTATCCAGTTCCTGCCAAATAATGTTAGGTAATGTATCAAACACAAGAGACAGTGTTTCATTGTGATATCCAAACACCAAGAAGGGAGTTGAAAATACGATGCGCAGCAGAGTATTTTTGATGAAATTCGAGGTGTTTGGATAGCCGATGAAACACTGTCGTGAGTGTTTGATACATCTTCTCAATCAAAACAAAAACTAAGGAGTAAACTGAGAAGTAAAATCGTCAAAATCTATGCTAATTAAGACCGGGTATCCAAACCTCCTTCACGGTTGTGATTTTCTTTGTTTTAACTTAATTAATTATTCATGGCTTTGAGAAGTTAAATTAAAAGTCAAGACATTTGGTAAAATGAAGATTCCTCTTTGGGAATGCAAAGATAGGCAAGAAACCTTGTCACTAGAAAGGTCAAAGTAGACTGAAAACATGGCATCAAGGACTTACCCATTAAGATCCTTTCTCTATGGAGTAACAATCTTGGCTTGATGTACTGTAGGTTCATTTACCTATTGGTATGAATTCCTGTTCATGGTCATGAAAAGATGGTTTTGCTGAAATTGAAATTAGTACCTTTTATCTTTTTTCTCTGAGTTTGAAACTCCGTCTTGCATTTTTATTGGCCTTGCTGTTAATGAGGAATCTTTTTATTCTTTTCAGAGTGATTTGACTTGTTGTTTAGACTGTTGAGATATGAGCCAGATATGAACAGATATGAGCCCAAACTAGCACTGTTTCAACAGAAAAAGCAATCCTCCATACCTATTAATAGAAGATTAATGTTCCGTCAGAGGGGCTTCTCAGATCTATGTTGTTCAGCAGGCATGGTCATAAAGGGCTTTTTTGTCCTTGAGTGTGGAAAGGATTAGGCATATGAAACAAAATAATTTAAAACATGCATGGTTTCTTAGTACACATTTTCTCAAGATTTTGGTTTTCCCTCTTGTAGCTGACATTTAAAAGAGACTGTGTAAAGTGTGTTCCAGATTTGATACTGGATGACAGTAAAAGCAAACGGTGAGTTGAAAATGTTATTTGACAATCACATTATTTTCTAAAGTTTAAAAGTCCTCTTTAGACTTCTTTCCTTATGCATCTGGCTATTAATCTAGATTTAATTTTTCAATTTGTTTCCATCAATGTGTTTGTGATTGAAATATTTCAAAAATGATTAAATACATTTGTGCTTTAGTGTGCTTTACTATTGACTTATGATGCATGTGGGAACTTTGGAGAGTACAAAATAGAGAAGCTCATTATAAGAATTGTACAAAATATAGCCATGGAAGAGCTAGTTAAATACTAAGTTTGATACCAAGTTTGATACTAGCAGGGCTTTGTTAAAAACAGGTGTATGTTGAAAATTAATGTAGTTATAGTATTATTTATATTGAAAGAAGCAACTCTTAGAAATAGCAACTCATGATCTGAAGTGAAAACGATAGAGTTAAGCTAATGCCTTTTTCCCTTGAAGGACGCTGGCTGTTGGTGCTGAAATTTATAAATTGGAAGTTACAGTGATGAACAAAGGAGATGACGCATACAATGCTAAGTTATATGTTACCATTCCCAAAGGAATTAAGAGAGGAAGAATATTAGAGGGAGAGGGGGTGAGTATAGCCTTGTAGAAGTTCAACTTACAACTTAAAGGGGCAGTCTCACCAAGATTTAGTGCTTCTTGAAAATCCAATGAAGGTGTTGGTTTTAATTGGATACCCACTAGAAGTTGCTAAAATGTACTGTACTAGTCACAAAAGTTGTTTACAATTGTTGTAGCTACGGACGAGTAGGAAAGAAGTGGGCTAAAACTTGAAAACGTTGGGCCGATGTTTTCAAGTTTGACAATGTTACTTGGAGGAAAATCACTGAAAATCATTGACCTTTTAGAGATTTAATTTTATGCTTTTTTTATCTTTAAAAGGTTACTTTGTTGATCAGTGAGTGCACCTTTATAATTCTAGCATAGTTTTCACAAAAAACTTAGGAGACCTCTCGTGATACTGCCCCTTTAATTTACTCGCATAGTCATGTAGTAATCATTAATTTACTTGCATTGTCATGTAGTGATCATTATGTTTGGAAGAAGTTATGATTAGAAGTACTGGCAGACTCTCTGAAAATGTACATTTGTCCACAGTGGATTATAGGCAGGACTTACATGTGCAAAGTACTAACTGTCTTCCATGTTCTGATAATTCAAGCTAATATTCCATCATTCATCACATAGAAAAGGACTGCAAACTGTTACTAGGTTAACACTTACGAATGTTGTTACCATTTCCAAATCATCAAATTGTGTATGAGATTTCTGGTAACAGGCAACATTAGCCCTCTGTGAGGCAAACACCTCCTTTAAGCACACACAACTCTAAAAGGCAGACTTCATTCTCCCTAAAGCTTACATATCCTAATGGTTTCTTAACCTAAGAGAGAGTTTCAATGATCCTTTTTGCATTTAAAAGTTTCTCAATGATTTGTGTTTAGGTGTTAAAAGGTGGGAAAGTTGAGGAGACAAAACTGGACTCAAATGACACCTTGCTCACCATCAACTTAAATACTCCATTGAAAAAGAAAGAGGTAATTAGATGCATCAATGTCATATACGAAAAAACCTTTCAGTTGACAACAAATGTATTATGATAAGATTACTCACGTTGATGCCTTGTTTGTACAGTTTGACTACTAACAGCTTCTTAATTAGTTTCGTTACATTTCAGCAATCAATTCAGATTGAGTTACGGACTGAAAGATATGCCAACTCGCCAGATTTCCTGCCTATATACCTTAGTACAAACAGGTCAGTTGGAGCAAGCTGGTACTCTTTCATTGTGTTTCTCCTCATCCTTCTCTTTCCCACATTCCTCTCCTTTTGTCCCTTGTCCTTCTCTTCCTACTCCTCCTCATTCTCCTTGTCATCTCTTCTCCTTTTCTAATCTATCTCTTCCCTTTTCCACTTCTTCTCTACCTTGGGTCTGACTGTTTGTCTTTGTCCCTGTCTCTTTCCTCCTTCATTGGCCCTCCTTATCATTATGAAATGTCTTCCCCTCATGTGCAGTCAGGAAGCCACTTGTCTATACTAGCTGAAAACGACTGTACAAATGAGTTACTTTTTTGCAAGCCTCTGTAAGGAGCTACAGATTTCAGGTTCCATAAACTGAGCTTGACGTTTTGAAAAATCAATATTGAACTGGGGTTTTGTTTTCTTTCCTTTCCTTTTAGTACAAACGAAGAAGAGAAAGAAACGTTAGATGACAACAAGCGGTTCTTGAATATCTCTATCAAGTCACAGGCAGACTTGGAGGTTAATGGGTAAGTGTAAAAGACGTGGCAACATGTACAGCGCCTCATGGTCACTTTCTATTATTACAGATGTTTGGTTTTTGAAACGCTCTTAATGGTGTTTGTGTTTGTTTTAGTACTACAGTTGAAGAACAGGTATCTTATGGTGGTAAGGTTGTTGGTGAAAGTGCAATGGTTCGTTCATCAGACATTGGCAATCAAGTCAAACATAAATACTTTGTAAGTATTTTGTAATTTCTCTCTCCTTGCAAATAATAATTCTGTCCATGTTTAATAGTTAACTTTGAGAATGTGGTGAAACATTTATTTAGTACTTCCCAGTTCAGAATTATGGGATTGAAATCAAACTTTCACTTTGCAAGACACTTTGCCCTACTTGGAATATGGCATCTCTCTAACCAGGAAAAATTATAAAGGAGAACCAGTATTGGAGCAAGTTACACACTTGCAAGGGTGTAACCTGTGGTGAACTAGCTTGCATACCATATGACTACTTAGTTGCTGCTGCAAGCCAGAGTCGCTAAAAGTTCTGGTGGTATGGGAACTTTGGACCAATATAATGCAGTTTTATCGTAGTACACATGCAATACCATGAGCAGGGTTGTTTCAAAGTTTTGAAGCTAGACAGCGTAGCTGGCCAAGATCATGAAGTATACAAAATTTTGCCTGCAGCCAGGCACTTTTTCGACCCTGCAATAGTATAAGTTTACTATTAGCTCCCAAATTTTCCTGAAATTTATATATTACGTTATCAATGAAGAAACAGCAGCATTTCACTTCCAATTTGAGGAGCAGGGTGGTGCAGTGGTGAGAGTGCTTACCTCCCATCAGTGTGGCCCAGGTTTGATTCTGGCCCGGTGCCATGTGTGGGTTGATTTTGTTGTTGGTTCTTGCCTTGCTCTGAGTGTTTTTCTCCAGGTTCTCCAGTTTTCCCTCCCTCCACAAAAACCAACATTTCCAAATTCCAATTCAACCAGGATAGAGGAGCTGCATGAAAACCAGCTAGGGCTGATGTGGCTTACTCTCTAAATATTGTAAATTTATTTAATTTAGTTTTTTTTTTATTTGAACCACTACAAATAACATGTAGTTGAAATAATTATTACCAAATGTTTAACTAAATTATGCTAAATATATTTAAGGTAAAAAATCGTGGCCCTGATCCAGTTCCTTCTACTGAAATCGTAATTCAATGGCCTTTTGAAGCACCCAGTGGAAAGCATTTACTTTACCTTATAGCTGTTCAGGTTAGTAAATTTCCCTTATATAAAGAGACATGTTCATTTATTGTTAGTTTTGAGAATTTGTTGACCCACATCAAGGTCAGATATCCAGTTGATCATAATATATTTTCTTTCTTCATATCACCTACCTGCTTGACAATGCACTATTATTGTAAGGAGAAATGTGTGTTCACTCTGTAAACTAAATGTGACTGACATTAAGACTTGGTTTGTCTTTCTAGTTTGATGACAAAAGAGTTAAATGCGATTTCAAAGATGGTCAGTTAAATATGCTAGGATTAGAGGTGAGTATGTCACTACAAACAATTCAAGAACTTACTTTTCTACTGTCAGTTACTAATCTTCAATTAAAATACAACAGAATGTTTGAAGTACATTGAGCACTTACATTGTGGATGAGAAGTGGTCCATCTGTTTTATACCTATTTTTCACAATGTTGAGTGTGTGTGAGGCTTTTGTGATATACCAGGCCTATTGTTTAATGCGCCAAATGTAGGATCAAGTGCTACAGGTTCGAGCCTTGGCAAGTGGGGAGGGGGGGGAAGGTCATAAGTGATGCCTGGCACCTGGTACCTCCAGTCAGTAGTATACCTGGGGTGGGGGGAGACTCCTATATAAAAAGGAAGGCGCTACCTGTTGGAAAATTTGAAAAGAACCTCTAAAAGGTACCAGGATCCTGTTTTGTAGGTGTGGCTTGAATTTTTTTTACCCCTAAGAGGTACTAATTCTAAAACAACACAATATCTCTTGTAATACCAGGGCTCAAAATTAACTTTTTCGTTCAGGAGCCTGCTGGCGAGTAACGGAAAAATTTTGGTCACCAGNCCAGTGCTCAATTTTTGGTCGCATTGGCAACCAGTGAGTCGCAATTTCGAGCCCTGGATACTTTTTTCGCTCAGTATTCTAAAAGTACCTCAAAAGTTCCTGCTGTGGACCTTTTGAGGCTGAACACCCTAAGAGGTACGAAAACCGCTTTTGTAACCGCTACAAGGTATGACAGGCACCATCCTTTTTATATGGGAAAAACCCCCCCCCNCCCCCAGTAGTATACATGTAAATGGGTACCGGCATGAACCATATGACACCTTTCACAGGGTGTCCATCTTTTGAGTGTTGACCATGAACATTTGACAAACGTCTCAAGCCTGACATATCACAAAGGCTACTTTCAAATGTGGATCCAGTTAAATAAAATGTCTCTATTTCCTCCTCCAGACATCTTTAAGTGGTAGCTCTGGGCAACAGCAAAATGACACATCTGAGGACGTAGGAGCAAAGAAGCGGAGAAGGCGTGAAGCAGATGAGAACCAGGGAGAGTCTAGTGCAAAGGTGAAACGAGAAGCTGAACCTGCCAAGGCTGAGAAACTTCAAACTGAACTGGTAAGAAGATCCCAAGATCAAAATATCAACACTCCTAGTTGTAGCCTTATAGGTACATTTCTTCTCTGTTTAGGTTTGAGAATGCATTGCTCATCAAAGGCTTTTCTCTACTTATTATTGTTGTCATCTGTCTTAGCATTATTACTATTAATACTGTTCTTGCCCTGAGCCGAAGGATGATGGGGGATGTGAAAGTCAGAAAATGCAGCCCCTTGCCTTCTCAATCCCCAAAGTTACAGCTATACACAAGTTAAATATACACTCCCCTCCACAAAACTGCAAAATCTCTGTGCCCCTTACATGCCCAAGGATGCAAGCCAAAGCAAAAATAAACCTCAGAAATTTTCTGGTCCTTACAAAAGGAGAATCTTTGTTTACAAAATTTGCCTCATTACCATAAGCAATACAGTTTCTGATGGAGCTACAAAGGGATTAAGTACTCCACACCTCACTAAATACACCTCTGCCTTTAATTTAAGTTAAGTTAATTTAATTTAATTACTGGTTGGACCCACAGTATCTTATGTCCACTCTGTCCATTGTTGTCAGGGGAAAAATGAGTTCTTTGTAATCTCTCTGTTGCTACTAATCTTAAAGGAGCTCAGTCACGATGGTGTTTTGTCTTTGCCACGTACAAAATCTCCTTGAAATGGAAGGAAACCTGAAAATAATAGTGTACTAAGATAGAAAAACATCAAAGAGATAATAATAAACCATAAAGGAACAAAGATGGTCAAGGATGGTGAAGATTGACACAGATTGCAAACAACGAATCTGAAAAATTTAGGCTAAACTTTTTAAAACATGCAAACCGTGACTGAGCTCCTTTAAGGTTCAAAGTAAAACCAGAAATGTAGCAATAACAAAACTTACCACATGCACACTGTACAAAGTAAATGGTTTTTTTTCCCTTAGGACTGCAAGTTAGGATCTGCAAAGTGCACAAATATTCGTTGCAAGATAGATTTTTTGCAAGCGGGTGATGATGTCACATTTACAATAGTGTCTCGCCTTTGGAATGGTACGATGATAGAGGCAAGTATTTTCAAATTTTGAACTGACAGAATTATGTGCTTGTTACATGTAAAGCTGTCAGAATGTTTAGTAGAAACCTTTCAATTTGGTTAACTGGTAGTTATGCTGAAATGTTTTGTTTGTTATATAGGATTATGAAGGCCAGCTGTTAAGAGTGATATCGCATGCTACAGTGAGGTCACTGAACACCTTTGTACAAGAGACTAACACGGACAACAACAAGGCACAGGTCAGGTTATTTCTTTGAATCTAAACCCAGAAATGCTGTGAAAAGCTTCCCTCCCCCCCCCAAAAAAAAAAACAAAAACAAAAAAAACACAGGGTGCTTATTTCTTTCAGGTTTTTGCTTTGAAAGCATACTACAGTTGAACCTCTGGTTGCAATCACCTCTAGTAAGCGACCACCTCTGCTCAGCAACCAGTTTTCCAAAATACATTTTTACCGAAAGTTTCCCTAGTCAAATCTCTATAAAATTATTTGGAACCTCTTGTAAGCCACCACCTCTTGCAAGCAACTGCGACCACTTTTAGAAGCTTAAAGTTTGAAATATTCTTTTGTTGTTAACCTCGCATGAGCTACCACTTGACAGATAATAGAGCGGAAATTGGATAATAAGGTGTTATAACATTCTTGCATTCCGGGGTAGTAATAACAGACCAAAATTTCCCACTGGGAAGTACCATAGTTTTTCTCAAAATTGACTTTCACATCATTCAGTGAAACATTAAAAACATAGGGTAATTCTCAGTAGCTACCATATTATACTATCAAGGCAAAATTTTGACCCATTGTGGTCTAAGCTCTCATAAGCGACTACCTCCCACAAGCAACCACCTGGCTTGGCATTTCGGGTGGTTGCTCTTGGGAGGTTCAATTGTATAAAGTTGATGTAATATGTCAGAACTACAAAAATTTGAAATTGAACTCCCCAAGTGTAACCAAGACATGAAATCATGTATGTTTGTCCCGTTCAGAAAAAATAGAGTTCCTCAGTGCTGTTAGTAGTAGGGGCTGCTGTTGGGGAAAGAGGTTCTTACTTTTGCCTGATTTATTTCCTCCTGTCTCTGGGTCTCGGAGGATGGGTTCTTTGTGACCCACAACTCATTCAAGATACAGTACATACATACATACATACATACTTTATTGACTTTCCCTTTAGAGGCTTTTCAAAGACAATACAATAATAAATTAAACTACTTAAAAACTCTAAGATTCATTAAGATTAATTAACTAGAATTAGGAATCTATAAAATCCTTAATNAACTATTAGATTATGAGCTCGAGATTTCTATGAGGTGATAGTTATGACCTCATAGAAATCAAGAGCGAATAATCTTATTGTCTTAGTAGAATTCTAACTGAAATTAATGCAAATAATGGTTTCCAATTATTTTTCCATGTATTATTAAACATTACACTTTAACAAAATCGCATGGACTGAATTGCCATTGGAAATTTGCAGTTGTCCAGGTATGCACCCATTCAAGTTTTTAAAGTCAAGAAACCATTAATGGCCTTCTTGTAGTCTTCTCAGGAATTTAATTATCCGTTTGCATCTAAACGTTCCTCCAAAATTTCAGAAAACAACAAAAAAAGGTCAACATTTCATAGATGACTGACAGCCACTGCACTCTAATGGCTGACAATGGCTCTGATGGTCAATCAGATTGCAGCATCTGCATTAGTATACTAGAAGAATTCTACAAATAATTTATTTAGTGTCCTGATGTATGGGCTAGCCATTGCATGCTATATAAAGGTTTCATCCACAGACACTAAGAGCCTCCTTGTGTAGTATAATTTACACATCACAGTAAATTAATGTGAAAATACAGCTTTCGTTTGAATGATTACACAGTAAGATTTCATCCACTTATTTAACTTACATTTGAAAATACAGCACTACAGGTAAACAGATGTCATAAGGGTTTAATCAGACACTGACTTACAACTGTAGTTTTGTGCATGAAATAATAAGTGTTTAACATCTGTCACTGAGAGTCCATACACTTTTAATTCATGCTTTATGCCCTTGTTAACTTTTATACTAACATGTTGTTTCTTGAACTTGTGTGTCACATCCATTTTCATTTAGAAATATTAATAATGCCTGGATTAATGTTTGAACTGCTATTTATCTTTAGCTGGGATTCTTCAAGCGGCAAAAGTATGACAAGAACATCACTAACCCTGAAGAGGCTGAAGGAATGCTGGACAATGGCAAGGGATATCATGTGTAAAATTTCAAAACCTCAGGACTCAAAGTGAGCTAGTAATTCAATGCTGTCAGCATCCCAAAAGTGCATAATTTGGTGCAGTTTGTTATAGGTCCAGTAATGGAATGAGGGGCTATCAAAAATGAATGCTTTGCGAGAAGCTTCATGACTGCTGGACAGTAAATTAGTCAATGGCACATCACATCTGGCCAAATGGACCTCCAGGTTGATCCAAGTTGGAACTGTGATTTAAAGACTTTGGAGACAATTACTTATTCCAGCCACTTTGATCAACTTATGCTGGCTGTCCACAATTTAAAATTGCATACAAGCTAACTTGGTTAAATATATATTTTTGTCATTTGTGATGGCAACCAGCCAACAAAAGTGACATAGTTAGGATCAAAGCATACAGACTCACTTCAGTCAAAAGGAAAATTAATTTTGTTTTCAGCTATTTCAAATGTTAATCTCAACTTCGAGTTACATGAAAGTCCATTTGATTCAGACACTAAACGCACTGGTGGTGTAATAGCAGACTTTGTCTGAGCCAAATAGTACAAACTGCAAGTAGCTTCTTTAGGTGTATAAAGATGTAAAATAATTTATATTACTCCTGTTGAGCTTTGGTTTTATAGAAAAATGGTTATTGTACTTTTAATTTTTTATGCCGAGTATTACCGGTATGTGTATTTTCCGTGCTCATTGAATTTTTAGATTATTTTGTTACAAGTTTACATATTAGTATATTTTATTGAGTAACTTTATCACAAACTTAGCATGAAAGCAAAACACCTCTTGTGGAATGCAGCTAAAAATGGTGCTGGTCATAGAGCAACTTGTGTTGTCCAATCACGTTGCTTTCTGTCCTGGAGCAACAAAGTTTGTCATATTGTTACACTGGTCTTTGGAATTGTAAATTGTCAGAAGTAAATATGGACACATAAATGGTTGATCATAGTTTAAAATAATGGTACCAGAGTTTGAATGTCATGTAGTGTACCCTCCAAAGCACAGGTTTTACTACAGCAAGTTCTCCCCCCTCTTTGAACATGTTTTGAAGCATGAATATTTTGTCCCTGAAATTCATTAAAACTTGTGGCAATAAATCATCTCAGCCAATGAAATTGGTTGGCACTTTATTTGTTTATTGTTCTCATGTCAATATTTACTAGTTACTAATGTATTTTCAGATGTTATTTCTAAGCATGTTTTTCTTAATAGTGTTAATAATATACAGTGGAGTAATGTGGGAACAATATTTTTTGCATCATACTTGCCTGTAACTTTGTGGCTTTTAATGTGCTAACCGCCGTAATCATTACATGTCTAAAACAAGGCAGTTAAAAAGGAATATGCAGCATAATTTTGTTTTTGTGTTCTGTTCAGGTTTAAAGTAATAAATCAATTGCAACTGATCACCTGACAATTTTTTGTAATGGCAAAGTTTTGATCATTGACCTGGGTGTAAGTTTCACAAAATATTAAAACCAAGTATTGTTATATAGTTTAGTCAGTTTTTATTATTAAACTGTCAAGTTTTGATTAACTGATGTCCCAAATGTTTTGTTAACTAATATTCAGATGCCCTCTCATGTTATGGGCTGTAAGATTTGTTTTCAACCGAGTCTTTTGAAGGGTTTGGGCATAACCAGCTAATGTTGAATTTAAGTGAGTTTTTTGGTATTTTTTCGGTGAAATATAAAAATGTGAAAAAGTTGTTGAAGGCCACATGAAAACAACAACAGGCAAATCCAAGCCCAAGAAACTTGAAAAAAAAAAAAAAAAANCAATTGCAACTGATCACCTGACAATTTTTTGTAATGGCAAAGTTTTGATCATTGACCTGGGTGTAAGTTTCACAAAATATTAAAACCAAGTATTGTTATATAGTTTAGTCAGTTTTTATTATTAAACTGTCAAGTTTTGATTAACTGATGTCCCAAATGTTTTGTTAACTAATATTCAGATGCCCTCTCATGTTATGGGCTGTAAGATTTGTTTTCAACCAAGTCTTTTGAAGGGTTTGGGCATAACCAGCTAATGTTGAATTTAAGTGACTTTTTTGTTATTTTTTCGGTGAAATATAAAAATGTGAAAAAGTTGTTGGAGGCCACATGAAAACAACAACAGGCAAATCCAAGCCCAAGAAACTTGAAAAAAAACAACTTAAAATCATGTTGGCATAGAGTGGTTATGCTCTTAAACCTTGAGTGAATGGTAACATGTTTATTTTAAAGGTTTCTTCTACTCTGAAGTACATCATTCTCATTAAGGTTTCAAGTATTAACTTTTCTGACAACTGGCGGGTTTTGCTATTCTATCACATTCCTGCTTTTGCTTCTAATGGCCAATTGCTAGTTTGTGTTTTAGATAGTGGTACTATGAAGACACTAGCAAAATTTTAGATTGTGTTGATCATAGCCAAATGACATCGTAATGTAAATTTCCTGCTCTGTCGATACTAAATACTTAAAATTGATTTGAATTGGTTTCATTGTTTTAACCTAAATTCAAGTCATTTCTGTCTGTTGAGAAGAGAGGTTATTGTTTCTGGATGATTGAGCTAGATAACAGTGTCTTCTCCCTGTAAAATCAGTATATATTGTAGCATGCTTTCTTGGGGAAGACAAAGGCTAAAATTTAGACTATAACAACAGCTTATTTGTTTGCAATAGTATGGTCTACTAGGAATTACATGATATTAAAATTAAACATAGGTTGGAATAATTTTAAGTGAATCAATAGCTGTTTGACAAAGCCATTCAATCAGCATTAGGTCCCATAGTGATAGAGATTTCAAGTTTCACTCCTCCTTCACACCTATCCAACTCATGCCCTTTCTCTTTTGCATTCAAGTGTTGTTGTTGTTTTTTTTGTAAGAAAATAAAACAAAACAAAACATTTGGGTCAAACTTGGTTTTAGTTAACCAAATTTCTCTTGTGTTTTTTTTTTTTTTAGTTTAGTTCGATTAGTTGTAAATTACAATGTCAAATAGATAACATGTTGAAACAAGAAATTAAAAGCAAATGTTTCTAAGAAATACTGTTGAAGTAATTATTTTAATATCTACTAGAAGCCTCTTTCCACATGCTATTGCTCTGTAAAATGAGTGGAGCTTAGAGAAAAGACAGTACAGAGGGCTAATAGATGAGGAGAAGTCTTTAAAATAATTTTTAGGTGGTGCATTATCTCCAGTTGGACACCTCCTTGACATTAATTGCACCTGGTTTTGGCCATACTTCAACCATAGCTAAAATGATTTAATACACATTAATTTTTAGTCCTCAGAGGCCATGACACCTTTAGGTACACAACAAGAATTGGGTTGTTCCAGTTTGAAAATTCATTGCAGCTGCAGGTATGTCTCATGATAATATTTTACTTGTGCTGACCCAGAAGGATTACAACCTTTGGGAATAAGAATGGCTCATCTAGGAGCAAGATGATCGTACTTGACCCCTTGAGTGCTAGACCATTGTGTACGTGGTGTGCCACACCATTTTCACTGAAAATGGGTGTCTAGTTGAAATTTCAAATGCTGTAAAAGCTTATTTTCACTTAAACTACAGACATGTAAATAATTATTTTCTGAAAGGTTATTAAAGTGTTTCTTCAATACGGCTAAATTCACTGAGGTTGAAGCAATTTGATATTCATATGACGTCACAACAATGGGTAATCAGCGGTCTCCAAAAAACGTACAAATCTTAGTTGCTGATAGGAGTTGTTTCCAGTGTGCTGGGAGTGACTAAATCTCTTAAAAGTTTGATGTACTCGGTAATATTAGCACATCATGATGCACCGATTACGTCGTGAAGGTACTCAAGAGGTTAACAAAGACTGCTCATTCTAAATCTAAGATTGCAAAGTTGGAAGCACAGTCCATGAGCCATGTTGAGGGCATGCTACAAACAGAATCAGTATGCCTGATGTGGGGCTTCTTTTCAGCCAGTGAATCATAGATGACGTACCGAGTGCATCGATACTGTTTAGAGCAGGGGTTTGCATGATAAGCAATGGGAGCGAAGGTAACTGCATTGTTAGACGCCTTGTTAGATTCACGTGTTGTAGGTAAACGAAGAGACTCGTCGATATCTGGTTTTGGTTCACGTGAAAGGATCTTGCCACCGCCATACTTGACCATCTGAACAAGGTCTTCCTTAGAAGGGTGTGGTGGGCAGAATTCACCGCTAAAGTAAAACTGGCAACCATCAAACAAACCAGGAAGCTGGAAAATAAAATCTAAAATTAATTTTCAGACATGCACTTAGCACCTTTCAATGGAGCAATGATGAATCTTGTCAGTAAAACACCAGAAAACAAGTAAAAACACTTGGATCTCGATACCAATTAAAGGTCACAACAGATTTGAAGTGGCTGTATTTACGAGGTGGCCGTATTAACAGGGTGGCGGGGTTCCACTATAGTTCTATTCAAGAGAATTTTATATTCCAACCCTAACAGCTCCAGCATGCAAAGAAACTTGTGTCTCATAGTCCAGGGCTACTTGATGTTGCAGTCAGACCTTTGCCTGTAGGTCTGATTGGCAATTGAAGGTTGAAGGGTAAAATTTCTGAAGTTAATTAATCTTGTCACTAAGAAATTTGGGGGGCCAGTGACAATGATCTTCATACATCATAATTACAGCTTGCCTGGTTTTGTTCACACTCTAAGTTCAGACTTCAACAAACAAATCCTGCTGACTTACTGGTCTCCATACATTTCTTTGTATAAGTTGGGGGAATTTGAACAATTTTACCCTTGATCAGGCCATTAATTCCCATAAGAACCTTCTGACTAAACATGCATTTGCTAGTTAAGGGGGAGTAAAATTTCTGATCAAATTTACCAACCTGTTTAACTGAATTGATGCGAGCTCTTCTGGGAGTGTCCACAGCAGCATCATTTGTACCCTTGACCTCGTGGGGTGCTTCATCTGCCCAGGTTTTGTGTCGCAGACATTTTACTATCCCTACACAAGAATTCCAAAATATAAACAATAGCCTCCATTTGGTGCGAAAATATACTCAGATATTTGTCTGCAGACATTATCTGTTCTGAGAAGTGGACAGTTTTCAGAGAGTGTAGCTCGAGGAAAACTGTGAGCTTTGAGGAACAGATAATGTCCATAGACAAATATCTGAGCATATTTTGAAAGTCAAATGGAGGCTATTGTGTTTATTATCCTTAAGATATTTTTCGTAAAACGTGTAGTTTTGAAAATTGGGGAATATTCTCGGATATTCCCCAGTTTTAGCTGGGGTACATTCAGTCACATGATGCATTAGACCAATGGCGTGCAAGCAAAAATATTTGATGGATTATAATGCACGATATCAGACTGCCAGAAGCCACTTGACAAAGTTCTGTGACATCATGTTGGTTTTCGCATTATATGGCAGATGTTGAACACCAAGTTAGTCANGAATTTGAACAATTTTACCCTTGATCAGGTCATTAATTCCCATAAGAACCTTCTGACTAAACATGCATTTGCTAGTTAAGGGGGAGTAAAATTTCTGATCAAATTTACCAACCTGTTTAAGTGAATTGATGCGAGCTCTTCTGGGAGTGTCCACAGCAGCATCATTCGTACCCTTGACCTCATGGGGTGCTTCATCTGCCCAGGTTTTGTGTCGCAGACATTTTATTATCCCTGCACAAGAATTCCAATATATAAACAATAGCCTCCATTTGGCGCAAAAATATGCTCAGATATTTGTCTGCAGACATAATCTGTTCTGAGAAGCGGACAGTTTTCAGAGAGCGTAGCTCGAGGAAAACTGTGAGCTTTGAGGAACAGATAATGTCCATAGACAAATATCTGAGCATATTTTCAAAGTCAAATGGAGGCTATTGTGTTTATTATCCTTAAAAGATATTTTTTGTAATATGTGTAGTTTTGAAAATTGGGGAATATTCTCGGATATTCCCCAGTTTTAGCTGGGGTATATTCAGTCACATGATGCATTAGACCAATGGCGCACAAGCAAAAATATTTGATGGATTATGATGCACGATATCAGACTGCCAGAAGCCACTTGACAAAGTTCTGTGACATCATGTTGGTTTTCCCATTATATGGCAGATGTTGAACACCAAGTTAGTCACAGAGAAGTCAATAACTTAATACTGTAAACACCAGCAGATAAGCCACACTCGCAGTAAACAGGTGCAGCTTATCCACTGGTGTTTACGGTACTTAAAATTTGTTGCATATCAATCAGTTGTTGGATCTTTGACTAAGAAGTTTGGAAAAACCACTCTTGAAAACAAAATTATAGCAAAAAGTTACACAGAGAAATTATCAACAACTACATGTAAATACAATTATTGCAAGATTATGAAACATTGTTGCACTGATTTTCAGTGGCTTATGGGATGATAAGTTGTCCTGATCAACATATGAAAATTTAAAGAATCTTGAAAATGTAGTTTTTAGTTGTTTTAAAATATTAAAAAAATTACTTACACTCATAGCTCACTATCCATTTCCCAGTTAACACACCATTCAAATACTTTATAGTCCTTGGGCAAATTCCTTTCTTGTTGTTTGTGGCAGTTACAATGTGAGTCACTGCAACAACAGAATACAAATTCAAGGCAGTTTAGTGTTAAATTTAAAATACCTCTGGTTTTTCCTAAAACCACTGTTTTGAAGATGTCTTTGTCACTCACCAGAGAGAGAAAATTCATTGACAATGCTTGCCATGAGAATGCTTGCACACTTTTGCAGATTTGCCTTAAAAGAATTGATATTCATAAATGATTAATTTACTACAAGAAATGACAGCTTTAAACGTTGCATACTAAGTTCAACAAAGAAGTAAATCAATCAGCTTATTAAAACTTTGATAATTTGTACCTTTTGTTCTGAGTTTAAGCCAGTTGCAAGCAGAACTTTAGGTGAATCATAAGTACCCTGAAGAGAGTTGAAAATAAAATATAGAAGCTATTACACTGTACATGGTGGCACAAACTCAAGATATGAGCCTTATTTTGGAGATTGTTTTTAACACTCGATAAATTGAATTACATATGGCTTGTGTTTGATTGCTCTGATTGGCTGATTGTAGGGAATTATTCTCCCGTAATGCCCACTGGCCAATTATGGGCCTGCAAAAACAAGGCAAACAGCCATATAATAAACAAAATATTACCCTCCATCGTTCAGCCTTGCTATATTGACCTCGCTATCGCTCAGTCAATACTGCAAGGTCTTGGTTTGGGATTTTTCCGTAAAGACCTCACTGTCAGGTGATAAGTAGTTAAAATTCAACATTACGCACTTATAATTTACTCGTGATTTTTAAGACTTTTTAAATCAACCGACCTTGCCATGCAGTATTGATGTGATCACTGCTGATGATTCATTTTCTTTGTTTGGAGTTGATGTGGATAAGATGGCTAACATTTCTTNGCATACTAAGTTCAACAAAGAAGTAAATCAATCAGCTTATTAAAACTTTGATAATTTGTACCTTTTGTTCTGAGTTTAAGCCAGTTGCAAGCAAAACTTTAGGTGAATCATAAGTACCCTGAAGAGAGTTGAAAATAAAATATAGAAGCTATTACACTATACATGGTGGCACAAACTCAAGATATGAGCCTTATTTTGGAGACTGTTTTTAACACGCAATACATTGAATTACATATGGCTTGTGTTTGATTGCTCTGATTGACTGATTGTAGGGAATTATTCTCCCATAATGCCCACCGGCCAATTATAGGCCTGCAAAAACAAGGCAAAAAGCCATATACCAGTAATAAACAAAATATTACCCTCCATTGTTCAGTCTTAGCAGGAAAATCTCAAACCTCTGCCTTGCTATATTGACCTCGCTATCGCTCAGTCAATACTGCAAGGTCTTGGTTTGATATTTTTCCGTAAAGACCTCACTCTCAGGTAATAAGTAGTTAAAATTCAACATTACGCACTTATAATTTACTCTGATTTTAAAGAATTTTTAAATCAACCAACCTTGCCATGCAGTAGTGATGTGATCACTGATGATGATTCATTTTCTTTGTTTGGAGTTGATGTAGATAAGATGGCTAACATTTCTTCAGTTGCTGCATAATCTTTTGGAAGGAGACCTTGTTTGTTCCTAGTATTTTAACAAAAACAATAAGAGCTAAAATAGCTGAGAGCTTAAGTCTATTATGGCTCAGCTTCAGTTCAATGTCTATCATTTCATCTCTACCAACCACCCCAAGTGATTATAGAGAGGGGGGCAAGGAGGGGTCAGTGGCTGTGCTTGGAGATGTGGGTTCAATGCAGGTTGAACATTTCTCCTACATGGTCTAGCAAAGGTGTTAACTTTTAAGTGGGGTGGGATCGGAAAACCCAGGAGTAAAGGGGGTGAGGTGGAAGGGAAGAGGCTGGGAAGTAGGATTTCCAAGTTGGCAGAAACTGGCAAAACAGAGAGAACATTTAAAGAACACAGATGCAAGAGCCACTAAGGAAACAGTGTAAACAGAGTCAATTGATCACCTGACATCTAAAGGAGCTCCTTTGGAGACCAGGAGTTCAGCTATGTCCAGTCTTCCGTTAGCGACAGCATCATGCAGCGGCGAGTCATGATCAAACCCACCAGGAATGTCAATCAAAGCACCATGGTCCAATAGCAGTTCAGTTATGTTCAGGTAACCATGGTTGCAAGCTTCGTGCTAAAATTAACAAGTTAGTTACTTAATAACTGATAGTTGATTTAAAGCTGAAGCCAGACAAATTTATAACAATGTTATTAACAATTCCCTCACCAATGGAGTCCAGCCAGCATGGTCTTTAGTGTTAGGGTCTGCTCCTTCTGCAAGTAGTTTTCTGACTGTGTCTACACAACCCTGTAAAGGTGATTATTTATTTCATGTTCACTTACCATCTCTTAGCATGAATCATGCCATCAATGGCTACTGAGCAAATAACTGCTGTATCAGATACAGTTTACATGTACATTCTTTGGTAGAATTCTCTTACTTTAATTGCTGCTACATGCAGTGGTGTCTCCCCACGCTTATTTTTCTTTACACCAGGAGAACAGGAAGTTGTGTTCTTTGGGCTGAAGAATTGCTGCTGTTCTGACAACTTTCTTTTGCTATTCCCTGTTAGCAGTAAAAGAGTTACACATACGATAATTTCATTCTAGAATATAAATATTTGTTTTCAATCCTGGAACACAGATTTCAGGTTTTATACATTATGTTTACAGCTGATTAGAATCTGCAAAATCCAATTAACTGTAATATGAATGTTTGAAATTAATAACTTGCATTGTTTACAAAACATTACATATACATATATGCATTTGTTTTGTTTTTTTTAACTGGAGTATAGGATAACACATTTGCAGAGTTTTGATTTGCGTAGTGGCCTGTCCATTTCTGTCATTATTTCATGCAAGGAAAACATGTTTGGTTAAATTGTCCATTCAAGGTTTTTTTCTAAAATAAAATCAGCAAGATCTTTGAATTTTTTGTGGTGTTTCTTTTGAAATAAAACATGTATTTAATTATCCAGCTTTTAAATGTGTGAACACAAAATGATTACAGCCAACCTGGTAACTATAGCAGGGACAGATCTAGGGGGCAAGGAATAGGGTGGCTAGCCACCCCTTTCTGGAAATTCAAAAGCAAAATATTTAAAAAATGGAAAACATTTGTGAATATCCCGATTATGGCAGAAATAAAGGCAAACACTCTGGACAGCCAGGTACCTCATTATGCATGTAATTACAAGCATTTTATTCCAGCTAAAACAGTGATAAAAATGTGTTATTCTCGATTAACAGCTACAGCAGTGAACTCGTAAGAGTAACAAGAGCCCACATGCATGCCCCATTAATTTTGCCACACCAAGGTACCAGCCACCTTCCCCCCCNCCCGCCCCACCTCCGTTTAAAATTCCTGATCTGCCCTTGTACAGGTCTTATTGGTGACTTTCTATCAGCTTGTTTGTTAAAGAAACTATGAAACACTTTATCAAAGGCCAAAATTAAAAGGCAAATTTTTATCCTAACCTTGTGGTGTTATAGGAGTTTCTTGGCTATTCTTGGTAATTTTCTTCTTTTCCTGTTCATCACTCATTCTTTCACCTGCATCATCCCTGACAACATCTGGCTCATTCTGAGACATGCTCTCACATGAAGAGCTCAGTGAATTCCCTTGGAAGTTCCTCTTTTGAGCTCTAGTCATTGGAGAACTTTTTACTGCTTTAAGACTTCCATCATGTGAATGTTCTTTATTACCAGTAGATCTCACTATCTCAGGCACACAAGAACGTGAATCCCTTGATCTTAGCCTTGTGAAGGATTTTTCATCAATACCCACATCATCTGCATAAGTGACATTGGTATCACCATCTTCAACACCAAACTCTAAATTGTCAAATTTTTGCTTCATCATTTGATCAACCTGGACTCTGTTCTGATGATTAATACAAGAAATTGTCTTTTTTAACTTCCTCTCTGTTACTTGCTTTCCAAAACACTTCTGTTTGACTTGCATTTGCTTGGTTGATCTTGCATTGCTTGAACATTTGGTACTTTCTTTGATAGCGTCTTGTCTACTTGATAGCCTCCCATTCTGGCATGTAAAAATTTTTCCATCACCTTTTTTAACTAGTTCAACATCACTGTAACCATCTTGCTTTCCTTCCTCATTTTCAGCCCTGTTTGCACCCTTTTGCACGGCCTTTCTTTTTATGTTCATCTGTGCTCTGGTGTAAGTCTTAATCTGAACAGATTCCTTAATCATCTTCTTATTGTTACACGATATTTCTTGCACTGCAGCATCACACTTATTCGTTGACGTAGCAGCTACGATAACTTCTGGAGATGAAAACTGATAAGAGTCCATTTCTTGATCAAGTGTTGGCTGTGTCTCCTCCCACTCTACTGCAGCTGTTCCTGGAAGGAAATAAACACAAAATAAAAATGATCAAATGTTCATAATTAGATCATGAGGTTAATCAGGAGTTTCATTGAGGGCCTGGCAATGGACAAATTGACCAGCTAAGAGGATGATTTTGCCCGCCTTTGAAAAGTAGCTGCCCTCCTGCTAGAAATGTTAACGAAACCCTATGGTGATACCAAAAAATCGGGGTCTCGCATGGGATTTGAACCCATGAATTTCAGGATACTGGTTGGGCACTCTTTACTTTCTGGAAATTTCCCTGTTTACTGGAACTTTTCTTAGGAAATTTCCATACCATTTGATATGTTTCAAAATTTCTTAGTTTTAGGTTGTTTAGAAAGCACCCTAGATAACCACAATATTACCAGTCATGGTATTTGTGTGTTGCTTATTCCTGACATCATGGTCATCATCATCATTATCATCATCTGATCTAATGACCATTCTAATCTTGGCACACATGCTGACAGTGTTAGCAAGCTGACGGTTGGTTTTCATGTCTTTCACCCAAGC